GCTATATCAAACTATTTATGAGGTTCCCTCTTCTGGCATAATACTTGCTTCCTCAATGAGTACGCATGCCCACATACCAAAGCCAATGGGACCCAACGAGTTAACCTAATTTTATAATTAGGATTTGTATAGGCAAGAGCTGGGGAGCTTGTGATGAAATTTTCCTAAAGGAGATCGTGCACATATTATCCATTTCTTCTTCAAAATCAATGACATAAGAGAGAGGATAAAGCACCTCTTATTGTGTTATCAAAGTCACGCCAATTTGTATCAGTAATGGTATATATCAGGGATCAAAATGTAACAGCAATATACTGCTTGTATTAAGAGACTATTATAACATGTCCCTGTCCTCATCGTAGTAAATCATATTTCCACAATAAGTAAGTATAATTAGTCATCTTTTTAAGTGATCCATTGTGGACAACAAAGCATAGCTGAATTAAATATATTATTCACCCATCAGTGTTTTCAGCTTCACTGTTCAGCAATGTTATCTCTTCAAACAATCATTCTCATTGTTCACTATAATGTACATATACATTCATTCATGGAAGACGCTATTCCCCAATTCGTCTTTGACTGGAGACTGCTGCTATAAGCTATTTCTAAAAGTGAAGGGGGGGATTGGCTTTCTAGCTCTATACACTGTATCTCAGAGTTCGCCCATAACTCCTAATGCCTCTATCCAGGAAGGAATCATGCATAAGTAGGCATATTGATGTTATCTTGATTCCAATCAATATAAAAGGATAGGCAGAGGTTGCTTGATCTCAGTCCTATAAATAAGTATAAAGTGCTCGAAATCATATACAAAATAAGAGTGCTCAAACCCCAAAAAAAGAAAAATGACCTCAACATGTTTCACTCCTACAATGGAGCTTCGTCAGGAGTAAATATATGTGCACCCCATACTGTGTCAAGCAAAAGCACAAGGTTCAGTGTCAGGAATGGACTCACCACTGGTGGTGCTGTGGCTCACTTGCTCTGTGGGCTGCAGTACCAGCTCCTACCAGAGGGTGCTTTCAGCAGCCAGGGTCTCACTCCTGCAATCAAGCCATCACCTGAGGCTGATTGCAGGAGGTCTATTTAAGCAGGACCAGGTCTGCAATCAATGCCTTGGTGTTTTCCCATGAGCCCCTGTATCTTGTTCCCTGGGCATCTGTTCCTGAGAGAAGTTACCTTGTTGCCGACCCTGCCTGATCCTGATTCCTGTTGACCATCGCCTGCTCTGACTCTTGGCTCGTCCCTGACTATTCTTCTGCCTACTTTTATGCTGCTTGACCTCCTGTTGCTGTACCTTGGCTAGTGACCCGTTTACTCTTTGCCTGCAGCTCTGTACTGATCTGCCTCCACCATTACCAACCCGGCTTGTCTGACTACGCTACACTCCATACTGTCATCCATTCATTTCGCACGGATCCAGTCACTACTGTCCGAACCTGCCAGCCCCTTCACATCAGGCTTTCCCCTGATACATACCCTCGGCAGACCCCTCTACCACAGTTGGGTGCACTCAGGGGCCGCGACCTGGTCTCAGTCCTGCGCCAAGTCCATCCCCACCATCAGGGGCTCTGGTGAAAAGGCAGACTGGGGCTTAGACTCCGTGCCCTGGGGAATCCCGTTCTGTGGGTCACTAGAGATCCCCCCCGGGCGGTGCCTGACAGTACCTTATGGCCTGCCTGACCATGCCACCTCTCCAGCCCTGACTACGCCTCTGTTCCTGAAGCCTGCTACTTCCCTGTGTCAGTCCACATATTTCTGGTCATACCCAGATCCCTGACATTCAAACTTGGACTGTTTGTATGGGACTTCTGTTTATATTCTCCCCTTTCAAAGATGGCCACTGGTGAGAATAAAAATACTTTGATAAATTGTGGAGGTACGTGGATGCCAAGTTCATGGTGTGAGTCTATGCCTCTTTGCCTATGTGAGATCATATCTCTGATTGGCACTAATACTGTAGTGATATTCAGTGTGTTAGTGTCATTTCATCTTCTTTCCACAAGATCGTGCTGTGTATCACTTCTGCGCATGCACAACGTCATAACGCAGTGACGTCATGACGTACGGACGCAGCGTGATGACATAATCGTATCATTTGACGACGCGGACATCTTTGAAAGCAAATCTTTGAGCACTCTTATTTTGTATATGATTTAGAGCACTTTATACTTATTTATAGGACTGAGATCAAGCAACCTCTGGCTATCCTTTGATATCGATTGGGATCAAGATAACATCAATATGCCTACTTATGCATGATTCCTTCCTGGATAGAGGCATTAGGAGTTATGGGTATGGGCGAACTCTGAGATACAGTGTATAGAGCTAGAAAGCCAATCCCCCCCTTTCCCTTTTAGAAACAGCTTATAGTAGCAGTCTCCAGTCAGGGACAGATTGGGGAATAGCCTCCTCCATGAATGAATGTATATGTACTTGCTTATAGTGAACAATGAGAATGGTTGCTTGAAGAGATAACATTGCTGAACAGTGAAGCTGAAAACGCTGATGGGTGAATAATGTATTTAATTCAGCTCACTTAAAAATATGACTAACTATATTGCGGTTACATTTTGATCCCTGATATAAACCATTACTGATAAAAATTGGTGTGGCTTTGATAACACAATAAGAGGTGGTTTATCCTCTCTCTTATGATATGGCTTTTGAAGAAGGAATGGACAATATGTGCTTGATCTCTTTCTTTAGGAAAACCCCAGGTTCTTGCCTATAAAAATCCTAATTATCAAATTAGGTTAACCCATTTGGGTCCCATTGGCTTTGGTACGTGGGCATGCGTACCCCCATTCACTAACACATGCAACTAAAATAATAAATAGTAATATGACAGATATCCGCAGTTGCACATTGGTAATTTGTGCAATATTAAAATTGTAAGTCCATAAAAGAAACTCAGCTCAAACAATGTCCATAGATTCATAAAGTGCAGTAATCTAAAGTGCAGGATGTGAACATGAAATTAATCACACAGGGGAATCCACCACCTCGGGCATATAGGTATATCACATCTGGAGGCAAAGAGGCAGCCAGGGGGTTAAACGAACTGCTCCATCAGAGGCATAGTTGGAAGAGGAACCCTTGTCCTAGGGAAGATAGTGTGTGTCAGGGCTCCCGGGTATGACCAGAGGTGTGTGACTGACGCAGGGAAACGCAGACTTCAGATATGTTATAAACAATGTAATTTATTAACACTAACCATACAAACATAAACGCAGTGCAATACTAAAACATAACACAGTGCAAACAAACCAACCAACCACCCACAGATAACAGTACATACAATGCAAGCGTCGTCAGGCAGGCCGGGTCAATATCAGTCGGGCAGGTAGGTACAGGGGGAGCAAGCGGAGAATGGTCGGGGTCACAGGCCAGGTTCAGCAGGTAGCGGGCAGCGTGGTACAGAGGGTCAGGCAGAGGAGAATGGTCAGACAAGCCAGGGATCAGAGCAGGGTCAGCAGAGAATCAGACAGGAACAGAGAGCAGGAACAGGATACAGGGTCCAAGAGAAACACAACACCAAGGCAGAGTCTGCAGGTCTGAATGTCCCTTAAATACACCAGTATAATTAGTTCCAGGTGTTTGACTGGCTGCAAGGTTGAGTCTCTGATTGCTGGGAGCACCCGCTGGCCAGCCCTGGTACTGCAGCTCATAAGGCAGCTGAGTCCCACTATTGCTGGCCAGTCCATTCCTGACAGTACCCCCCCACCTCAAGGAGCGGCCTCAGGACGCTCCAAACAGTCCTAGCTGGGCAAAATGTTTCACCGCCCGGGTCTGGTAACTGGCGGGATATCAAAGACTGGCACACCGGGCAGGACTCCGGGCAGCGGCACATCGGGCAGAGGCACATCGGGCAGGACTCCGGGCAGCGGCACATCGGGCTGGACTCCGGGCAGAGGCACACCGGGCAGAGGCACACCGGGCAGAGGCACATCGGGCAGAGGCACACCGGGCTGGACTCCGGGCAGAGGCACATCGGGCTGGACTCCGGGCAGAGGCACATCGGGCAGAGGCACATCGGGCAGAGGCACATCGGGCAGGACTCCGGGCAGAGGCACATCGGGGCTGGACTCCGGGCAGAGGCACAACGAGCAGAGGCATCGGGCAGGCACCCGGGCAGAGGCACACCGGGCTGGACTCCGGGCAGAGGCACATCGGGCAGGACTCCGGGTAGAGGCACATCGGGCAGGACTCCGGGCAGAGGCACATCGGTTGGACTCCGGGCAGAGGCACATCGGGCAGGGCTCCGGGCAGAGGCACATCGGGCCGGACTCCGGGCAGAGGCACATCGGGCCGGACGGACTCTGGGCAGAGGCACATTGGATTACCAGGTGAAGCAGCAGGCAGCGGGCCACCAGGCGGGAGCAGCAGGCAGCGGGCCCCCGGGCGGAGCAGCAGGCACCGGGCCCCCAGGCAGAGCAGCGGGCGCCGGGCCCCCAGGAGGGGCGACAGGCGTCGGGCCCCCAGGCGGGGCGACAGGCGTCGGGCCCCCAGGCGGGGCGACAGGCGTCAGGCCCCCAGGCAGGGCGACAGGCGTCGGGCCCCCAGGCGGGGCGACAGGCGTCGGGGCCCCCAGGCGGGGTGACAGGCATCGGGCCCCCAGGCGGGGCGACAGGCATCGGCTCCCCCCCAGGCAGAGCGGCGGGGGCGCCGGGCCCCCAGGAGGGGCGACAGGCATCGGGCCCCCAGGCGGGGCGACAGGCATCGGGCCCCCAGGCGGGGCAACAGGCATCGGGCTCCCAGGCTGGGCGACAGGCATCGGGCTCCCAGGCGGGGCGACAGGCATCGGGCCCCCAGGCGGAGCAGCGGGCGCCGGACCCCCAGGCGGAGCGACAGGTCTCGGGCCCTCAGGCGGAGCGGCGGGCGCCGGACCCCCAGATGGAGCGGAGTGACAGGTCTCGGGCCCTCAGGCGGAGCGGCAGGCGGGCGCCGGCGCCCCCCCCAGGTGGAGCGACAGGTCTCGGGCCCTCAGGCGGAGAGCGGCGGGCGCCGGACCCCCAGGTGGAGCGACAGGTCTCGGGCCCTCAGGCGGAGCGACAGGTCTCAGACCCCCAGGCGGAGCGGCGGGTGCCGGACCCCCAGGCGGAGCGACAGGTCTCAGGCCCCCAGGCAAAGAGGCGGGCACCGAGTCACCAGGCACGACAGTGGGCTCCGAGTCAACTGGCATGACCGCTGGCACTGGGTCAGACATTGGATCGTCTGGCTGGACAGCGGGCATCGGGTCACCAGGCATCAGGTCATTTGGCTCGACAGCGGGCACCGCGTCATCTGGCAAAGGCAGTGGCCTCCGAGTCAACTGGCACGACAGTGGGCACCGGGTCATCAGGTACCGGATTGTCTGGCTCGACAGCGGGCATCGGGTCACCAGGTATGACAGCGGGCACTGGGTCACCAGGCATCAGGTCATTTGGCTTGCCAGCGGGCACCGCGTCATCTGGCAAGGCAGTGGGCACCGGGTCACCAGGCATTGGATCGTCTGGCTCGACAGCGGGCATCGGGTCACCAGGTATGACAGCGGGCACTGGGTCACCAGGCATCAGGTCATTTGGCTTGCCAGCGGGCACCGCGTCATCTGGCAAGGCAGTGGGCACCGGGTCACAAGGCATTGGATAGTCTGGCTCGACAGCGGGCATCGGGTCACCAGGTATGACAGCGGGCACTGGGTCACCAGGCATCGGGTCATTTGGCTCGCCAGCGGGCACCGCGTCATCTGGCAAGGCAGTGGGCTCCGAGTCAACTGGTATGACCGCGGGCACTGGGTCAGACATTGGATCGTCTGACTGGACAGCGGGCATCGGGTCACCAGGCATCAAGTCATTTGGCTCGATAGCGAGCACCGCATCATCTGGCAAGGCAGTGGGCTCCGAGTCAACTGGCATGACCGCGGGCACTGGGGCAGACATTGAATCGTCTGGCTGGACAGCGGGCATCGGGTCACCAGGCATCAGGTCATTTGGCTCGACAGCGGGCACCGCGTCATCTGGCAAGGCAGTGGGCTCCGAGTCAACAGGCACGACAGTGGGCACCGGGTCATCAGGTACCGGATTGTCTGGCTCGACAGCGGGCATCGAGTCAACTGGCCTAATAGGATCGTCAGGCTGGATCAGTTCATCATGCTGGGTAGAGGCATCAGGCTGAATGCGGCGTCCGGCTGAGTAGAGGCTTCAGGCCGAGTAGAGGCTTCAGGCCGAGTAGAGGCTTCAGGCCGCGTACAGGCATCAGGCTGCGTACAGGCATCAGGCTGAGTACAGGCATCAGGCTGAGTAGAGGATTCAGGCTGAGTAGAGGATTCAGGCTGAACCACGGAAGGCAGGTTCACCGGTTTGGATACTGGCAGGATGGTATTGGTTGGAAAGAATTTTCGCTTTTTTCTGGTTTTAACTACTGGAGCACTGCAAGTAAACGCAGGTCTGCAAACGAATGGAGCAGCTGGAGACAGAGAAGAGCTGGAGGATGGAACAGGAGAGGGAGCAGTTGCTACAGAGGGCTTTTTTACAGGTTAAAGGCAGGATAGGTGCAGCGAGTGGGAACAGGGTACTGACATGCGGTAGATAGCAGGGCAGGAGGAGCTGTTGGGAATGCAGGAATAGAGTTTTGAGGAAATAGATTAGAAGCAGGACTGGGTTTTTGTAAGCTGACTGAGGCTGGGTGCAACAAGTCTGTCCATGTCTGCAGTAGGGGTTGAACAAAGCTGAGCTTACACAAAGCCTGTCTGACCAAAGACTGCACTGCGTTTATACAATCTCTTAGTACCTGTGGTGAACATGTGGAATAACGCTCCAGAAAGTAACCCACATCATCCTCTAATAACCACACCAGGGACTCTACCTGGTCAGCACTAAATGGTGGCAAAAATTCATCTCTGCATTCGGGGGTACCAGATGAAACCAACTCAGCACAAACCTCAATCAAAGGCTGCACCTCAGAGAACTCTGTGCCCTGATCTACTAGAACATGAGCGAGCCGTATACATTCTAGCAGTTCATCCCGGGTATACTCCTTCAGAGTCTGATAAGCATACTCCCTGTCATCAAACACTAGCAGAGATAAATACTCAACCTCATCCAGATCCATCCTTCCCATCAACAAGCCAAGATGGCTTCCCTGTGCAGCCACTTCTGGTCAGGATTGGCCTTGGTGTAATGTCAGGGCTCCCGGGTATGACCAGAGGTGTGTGACTGACGCAGGGAAACACAGACTTCAGATATGTTATAAACAATGTAATTTATTAACACTAACCATACAAACATAAACGCAGTGCAATACTAAAACATAACACAGTGCAAACAAACCAACCAACCACCCACAGATAACAGTACATACAATGCAAGCGTCGTCAGGCAGGCCGGGTCAATATCAGTCGGGCAGGTAGGTACAGGGGGAGCAAGCGGAGAATGGTCGGGGTCACAGGCCAGGTTCAGCAGGTAGCGGGCAGCGTGGTACAGAGGGTCAGGCAGAGGAGAATGGTCAGACAAGCCAGGGATCAGAGCAGGGTCAGCAGAGAATCAGACAGGACAGGAACAGAGAGCAGGAACAGGATACAGGGCCCAAGAGAAACACAACACCAAGGCAGAGTCTGCAGGTCTGAATGTCCCTTAAATACACCAGTATAATTAGTTCCAGGTGTTTGACTGGCTGCAAGGTTGAGTCTCTGATTGCTGGGAGCACCCGCTGGCCAGCCCTGGTACTGCAGCTCATAAGGCAGCTGAGTCCCACTATTGCTGGCCAGTCCATTCCTGACAGTGTGTATCTGAAAGTTGCGCCAGTACATTTGCCCACATAGAGACAAGTACCGCAGGGAGTCCTCAGCCAATGATTATCAGCCCCCAGTAGTAGCTGCAGTCAGACAGATACACCATGAAGACGAGGTAGAGACATTCCACTAGGATCCAGCTGTGGTTAGTGGCCAAAGCATCACCCCTTCTGAGGATGCACTTTGTGTGCGAAACATGTTAAGGAGGAGCCATACACGCCTGAGACGTCACGCCACCGGATCAAGGAGTTCCGGTGGCCCCCATAACTATCCAGCTGGTCAGTTTTTCTAAATGGTTTATGAACGGTTTTGCTGCATGCTTTGTCTATATTTCATTGGCGATAGCCTCCGTTTGCTTTTATGTATGTTTTTCACTTTTAACCATTAATAAAAGAATTTTATATTTTGACCTACTACACTATGGCCACTATTCTCTGCTCCACATCGAGCATTTAACCCCCCAGGACCATATGGTGACCACCCTGAGGCCCAGAGGAGAGTGACTCATTTAAGCTGACCCCCATCGCAGCTTCCACCAGTAGAGAAGATCTCTCGAGGCACCAGTATTGTGGGACAGCCTGTCCAGTGTGAACTGCACCTTCCACAGGACAAGAGGGTTCCTATTATATACCAACTTAAAACTTCATATCTAAAAGGATTTAAAAAAATCATGAGGCAGCACAGAAACATCCTCGCTAATGAGAATACGTGTGCAGAGGTGCGTAGACCCCACTACATACCTACAAATGAAGCAGACTACTCAAAGACTTGTAGTAAGAGCCAGGGGCGGACTGACAACTCATGGGGCCCCTGGGCAATAGGGGATCATGGGGCCCCTGTGTCCTTGCCCAAACTCAAAAATGCCTATGAAAAAGGTACCAGGGGCATCTCATGGGGCCCCCTACTGACCCTAGGCCCTCGGGCAGTGCCCGAGTTTCCAAATGGTTAGTCCGCCCCTGGTAAGAGCCAATCCAGTCAGGAAATATCGAAAAATGTCAGTAAAATTTCAGATAAGAAAGGGTGCTTCAAATGTCATAAGTGTAACATATGCAGTATTTTAAGATGTGGTTAAACATTTTCTCATCCACTTACTGGGAGAAAATCTTATTGAAGAATATTTTAATTGTGATGACAATTTTTGTGTATCTTTTAAAATGTCTTTGTTCTCTAATTTTACGTAGGAAGGCCTCCTAAATGTAGGTTTCAGAAGCACGGGAGCAACGTACAGGTGCCTCTGGAAAATCGGCATCTGCAAAAAAAAACATCAACCAAGATGTCAGTTGCTGTTCACTTTGTGTATGAACAACACCAAACTCAACTGGAATAGCCATAGCTCAGGTTCTTGTATAGTCGCCCGATCGCGTCCATCTGACAGCCAGTTTGTCAGGTTTACACACATCATGTCTTAAAATTTCACTGCTGTCGAGGTATGATATACTGTATTTTTCGCTACATAAGACTCTCTTTTTCCCCCCAAAAAATGGTGGAAAATGTCAGAGTTTTATGGAGTGAATATGGAGCGCCCCCCCCCCGTGTTAGAATACCGGGCCGGCCACTCGGCTCTTCTCTGCAGATGGCCAGTGGTCCTACCTTTTTCTCAGTCCAGTGGTATTTTCAGTCTTTTCTCCCCGGCACTGGCATGGGCACCCAGATGTGACAGCTTGTGGCCTCACAGCCGGGTGCCCACTGTGCATGCGCAAGAAGAGCTGTACTTTATGAATGGCCCTGTAATCTTACGGGATCTGTCACGTGTCCCAAAAGATTATGGGAAGGGAGGGGGAAGGACAACTCCGCAGAAGTGGGAGCAGGTACCTGTCAAATTCATTTACCCACTCCCCCCCACTACACTCCCCAAAGGTCTGCAGTGTCTGGTCTTCTGTACCAGGGGTGGACTGACAATTCATGAGGCCCCCCGGGCAATAGGGGGTCATGGGGCGCCTGTGTCCTTGCCCAAACTCAAAAAAGCCTATGAAAAAGGTACCAGGGGCACCTCATGAGGCCCCCTACTGACCTCGGGCAGCGAGTTTCCAAATGGTCAGTCCGCCCCTGTTCTGTACTATGTCTGCAGTCTCCGGTCTTCTGTGCTGAGTCAGCAGTCTCCGGTCTTCTGTGCTGAGTCCGCAGTCTCCGGTCTTCTGTGCTGAGTCCGCAGTCTCCGGTCTTCTGTGCTGAGTCCGCAGTTTTCCTGTTTTCCTCCTCTAAAATCTAGGTGCCTCTTATGGTCAGGTGTGTCTTATATGGAGCGAAAAATATGGTACATCACTGACAGCAAAACATTTAAACATCCAAAACATGCTGCTTTGTGACCTTTTCTTTTGATAAATCGCACTATAGATTTTTACATAAGAGTTTGTATACAATGTATATATATATATATAAAAATGTGCTACAGCAGACGGGAGCTTCTGTAACCCCTCCCCCCCAACTACTGCTGACGTATGACATATGTCGTGGGTGAAAAAGGGTTAAACATTCAAAGCATGCTGATTCTCACCTTTTGTTCTGCTAAGGCAGGCTACAGAGTTTACCTGAGGATGTTTAAATGACTACTCCTCCCACCGTCCCAATCTTACTGCATAGCAAAGAAGAGCACACAGATTCAGTTATGACAAGTATATACTTAAAAAAAGAAAGATTTGCTTGTTAGTTTATGTTGATCAGGGCAGGGGGCAATTGAATATATATAATATGAACACATTACAATTCAGTTTTTTATATACAAAGCAAGCATACTTACAACGGTGCAAAAGAGGTATGGCCATATAATGCAATTTTAAACATCTCTACCCCAGTTAATTGACAACAATTCACACCTTTACTCTTGGAAATCAAGGACAGGATGGCACCACAACTTTCAAACCTCCCATCCTGCTCTTGGACAAGCAATCTTAACATGCTGCATGTGATTGGATTAGGCGTTCTTAGGTGTGAATGTACATAATGAAGTATCTTCCTGACACTCATTGGAACTGAAAAAGTGGCTTAGTAAGTTTGGAAATGTCTTTAAAATTCCAGAACAAGTCTAGATGAATGTGACTACTACTGCTACTGAATAGAAAGATAACAACCGTACTCCAATCGTAGCTCTTCTTGCTGTATGTATCTTTGTGAGCAAGCTGGGATCTGTGAAAAACATTAACCGCTACCTCCCTCTTCCCCGCCCTATAGCAGAAATACTGCTACAGGGCAGCAGAGGGTGTGCAAAATCACATATATGCACATGATTTTGCATTTCCGGGTAGGGGCGTGTACCAGCTGCGCGTGCCCTACCTGTGCCGCCATTCGTGGCCTCGGCTGCCAACCACCGGGTCCCGGCTGGTTATTCCCTGCCGGGACCCGACGGGGGAGAAACCAGTGTATAAACAACACAGATCTCTCCCCATTCAGGTCTTGCACACTGTTTTATATGGCTCTGCATAGCACAACCATACAAAGCAGTGTGCTTACAGTGTAAAGCACACACATACAACATAGTAAAACAGCACACAGTTAATCCTTTGATCACCCCAGATGTTAACCCT